TCTGAGCTGCATAGTAAGACTCTGTACCAAATAAATAAATAAATAAATAAATAAATAAATAAATATTTTTAAAATTATATAGGATTTTGTGAGTTTTACACAGTTAAAACAAATTTCCCAAACTGGTTTTGGGGTGTGTGTGTGTGTGTGTGTGTGTGTGTGTTTTAGTGCAGGGTCTACAAGGTCTCACTACACAGATCAGACTCAGTGATTCTGTTGTTTTCAACCTCCCAAGTGCTGGGATTACAGGCACGCTCAGTCTCAATTGCCATTTCAGCATGCCCTGGGGGTGGGGCCGACACACCAGGGATTGAGTCCCCATCCCAGTGCCTGCCTAAGCAGATGATCTGCTGAGCTATCTGGCCAGCCCTACCATACTGGAGTTTGAGCCAGGGCCTTTCCATTGTCCTTTTCAACTCTTTATTTTGAGACAGAGTCTTGCTAAGATACCCAGGTGGGACTCAAACTTGAGATGCTCCTTCCTTGGCTTCTCTGTGTGCTGGGACCAGCAGCATGTACTACCATACCCTGCAAAAGAGAGATTGTTTAGAGAATCTAAGTATCAGGGATGCGGCACACAGTAGGTCCTTAATGAACAGGAGTGGTTCAGTACAGCCCCATGGTGCACAGAGGAGGGACAAATTTGAAACCAGAGCTTTAACCAACCAAAGTCCACACATCGTGTCACACCCAAGCTCTCCTTCTTGATAAACATGCTCCAAACTGCCCACTGAGACTTCCTTTCAGGTGAAATAAATTGTATATCAGACAAACATGTACATACCACATTGTCTCTCTGGTGGGACAAACTGAAAGTCTAAATAAGAACCAAAATGTATAATAGATTTAGTGAAATCGGAAGAAAGTGTACAAAAGGAAAGGGGAACTAGGAAGGGAGAAAGGGAGGAAAGAAGGCAAGGAAGGGAAAAGAAAGAAATGAGAAAAGAAGGGAAAATTGAAAAAAAGCTTTGTAAATAAGAAGAAGAGGGTTTGAAGGGACGGGAGGGGAATGGGGACAAAAGGAGGAATCAAGATACATCGCCTGGGGCCTGCCCCTTAGCTCAGTTCTTTAAGTGGCTGCTTCAACAAAGCAGTCAGTCTCAGGTTGCTGTGGTTCGATCCCCCCAACTTCAGCCAGCCAAACATGCCCTGAAGGCATTCTGAGCCAGCACCCCCCCCCAAAAAAAAAAAAATCCTTCCGCCATTTTGGGGCCGGGGAGATGGCTCACAGGAATAAGTGCTTCCCTGGCAAGCACAAGGGCCTGAGTTCAATCCCCGGTTCAAAAAAAAAAAAAAAAGATACATCACATACAGGTACAAATTCCCTATGATGAATGTGATCATTCTGTACATTTAAGTTGTACCAATAAACTTAAAAATAATAAAAAATAAAATAAAAAGAGGGCCGGCAAGATAGCTCACAGGACTAAGCACCTTCTTTGGCAAGTGCAGGGACCAAGGTTCAGTCCCCAGTCCCGCATGTCATGCCGGCTCCACCCCTGGGGCACACTGAGCCGGCAACCCAGTCTGTGTGTGGTGAAGCATGCCTGTAATCCCACACTAGGGAGGCTGCAAACGGGGATCATTACAAGTCCAAGGTGCGTAGTGAGACCCTGTACCAAATACATAACATGAGAATAAATAAATAATAAAAAGAGATGGAGGGGAAAGGAGGGACATGGAAGGGGACATGGGACATAAAAGGAATGAAAATGCATTATGTGCATGCACCAACTCTCCACAATGAATGCAAGCATTGTGTACTGCAAACATGGACTAAGAAAAATGTTAAAAGAAGCAGAAATAAGTAACCCCAGCTTCCTGCACGTAAATTCACTGCTAGTCTTTATAGATCCGA